GGGGGTTAATGGCCTCCAAGGGGCCCCGTGAGTAGGATTATTTTCTCTCAGAGAAATTCCTCCGCCTGTGGTTTCTTAAAGGGATCTCCAAACCAGCCCCTTGCGCGCGTCCCTGATGCGCAGGCGCACTACAAGCCCCTCCCCCCTTTCCCACCAAGCCCCCGGTCCTGAGCGTGCGCGGTGAGTAGCCCAGACTAGGCCAAATCCTGCTTGTCTCTTTGCTGCCAGCAGCTGCTCCCACCACTCAACTATGGCCGCTCCCTTAAAGGGACCATGACGAAGGGGTGGTGGCAGAGTGGAAGGTCTTAATGAAAGGAGTACCTGGAGGACTGGGTGAAATGACAGTGAGGGGTTCACATCACCACACTACACCTGACTACAGAGATACTGCTGAAAAGACAAAATGTGGATGAGCTGAAGCTCCCAGTGAACCTTTGAGCATGAAGAATCCCAATCATGAAGAAAACGGGACTATTATCTCAAGGAAAAACCCAACAGCTTGTCAAGTGGAAAGGGGCATAGAGCATCAAGGACCAACTTCCAACCTTAAAACCAGATCCATTGGTGGTTTTGAAGACAGAGCCAACAACTGAAGATAATTTCTTCAATAGTTATTTGTCATTAGAATAACAAAATGGGGAAGGATCCTAGAAACCATCTACTCCATTGCTTTCATAGTTAACATTTCAGTATGGTCATCTGAAGTAAATTAATTTAACTCCAGAAACTCAGTGGCTGGTGAGGAACTAGAACCCAGACTGTAGCTGCATTCCTCCAGGATTTTGAATGCACAAAACTGTCTTCCAGGCAAGAGAACATAGACTGTAAAGTGCCTTGATATTTCAGGAACAGGGTTGCTGGCCTGGGAAGACATGATGATAACCTACTGTGAATCGTCCTTTGCCTCCATTGAAGGAACTTGAGAGTCTGACTTGAAGGATAAGAACCAAACTGTCAAAACGGAAAAATCCAAGGACAGCCGACTCTCTCTTCCCTGAAACACTGAAGAAAGCTGAGGGGAATGAGAGCTTGATTCATTCATTCCTCTGTCTAGTCTAGTTCCAAAGTCCTCAGATGGGATAAAACTTCCCTAATGGAATCCTTAATGATGGCTTAGGGACAAAAGTGAGACATATAATAACCAATACAAAGAAATTGGTTGGCGTTGGGTTGGTTTGGGCTGGGTTGCTATGTAGCCCAGGCTGGTCTGGAACTCCTGATCCTCCTGCCTTGATCATCCAAGTTCTTTGAGTGCTGAGATGATAGGAAACTCACAAAGAACTCAATTTTTTTAAAAAATTTAAGTCTCAGATTGAAGAGGTGTCAATCTCCTTGGCAATACTTAGTCAAAGGGGACCTTGCAGTTACTATCCTCACAGGATGAGAGTCTCTCTGCAGCTGTACTTCTGCGTCAGTCAGTAGCTCTTTGAATCCAAGAACTTTTGCTGAAAATTTAAATGGCTGCATGTTTTCATGCTGGTCCTTGCTTCCTCGCTTAGACCTGTTATCTTTAGTTTTACTCATGGGTAGAACAAAGAGAAATATATTCATTTCTGCCAAAGGATTTCTTTTTTAATATTCTAGAATTTTTAGTTACATGTCCAGGCAAAAGCAAATAGAGAGGTTAAGAAAAGACCTTTGCAGGGAACGTAGGTAAATAAAAGCCTGATTGGTTTCCACCTTTTTATAACAGACTGTATAATACTCCCTTCTAATGAAATATAGCCATTTAAAAATGGAACTTTGACAGGCACTGATGGTGCATGCCTTTAATCCCAGCACTGGAGAGGCAGAGGCAGGTGGATCCCTGCAAGTTCAAGACCAGCCTCTTCTACAAGAGCTAGTTCCAAAGCCACAGAGAAACCCTCTCTCGAAAAACCTAAATAAATAAATAAATAAATAAATATGGAACTTCAATGGCCAGGTGCACACCTTTAATCCCAGCACTCCTGGAACAGAGGCAGGCAGATCTCTGAGTTTGAGGCCAGCTTGGTCTACTGAGTGAGTTCCAGGACAGCCCGTACTAAAGAGAGAAACTCTGTCTGGAAAAAACAAAAACAAAAAAAATCAAATTTTCAGCTGAAAGTGGAGAACCCAGCTTCAGCCTTGCCCTCTCTCTTCTTCTGCTCTCATGTCCCCTCCTATTATTAGAAAAATCTTGGGCTTTAAAAAAAAAAAAATGGCTTAAAGGCATTGATTTGGTTCAATTACCCTATTTTTTCTTCTTCTGCAGTGCTGGGGACCTCCACTACACATGCTAAGAAAGCATTCTACCACAGAGACACACACTCCAGGCCTATTTCTATATTTTAAGATGAAATCAAAGCCCAAATAAGAAGTGAATGGTACAAGATCACAAAAGGATTAGTAACGTCAGGACTGACACACATCTTGACTAAGGCTCTCCACCACAGGAGGAAGTTTCTAGAGGTCTAATTGTTGGGTCTTGAATAATAGGCGTGATTTGCATGTCCCAGATAATGTACAAGCATACCAGGAATATTCCATGCAATTATTTATGTAGAAGGAGGAAAAAGAAAGCCAGCATGTAGGGAGCGCCAGAGAGCTAACCAAATTTATGGAGAGCTTCATAGAGTACAGGAGACTAATACAAGGTCATTATTAAACAGAGAGGCCAAGACAGAATGCAAAGATATATATACTTCCTGGGATGCTTGAAATTTCATAAAGACTGTAAATTGGTGGCCAAATCTGTCTGGCTTGTCTGTTTATACTTACGTGATGTTAATCAAGTTCTTTGTTTTGTGACTTGATTTTCTTATGTGGAAATGGGTTACTGGAAGGATTAAATTAGTCAACACCTGCATAATATCTCTTAGAACAACTTTTAGTTCCTAGTACTCCACCTTACTCACTGTTCTATTGCTGTAAAGAGACATCAGGACCAAGGCAACTCCTATAAAAGAAGGCATTTAATTAGGAGCTTGTTACACTTTCAGAGGCTTAGTCCACAATGATGGAGCAATAGCTGAGAACTACTTCCTGATCCACAGGCAGAAACACAGAGAGAGAGACCCAGCCTGGCATGGGCTTCTTAAAACCTCAAAGACCAACTCTAATGCACAAACTAATTTTGTGGAGCCCGTTCTATATGGAGACATACCTTGCTCAGTCTAGGCCCTGGGAGGTGGGGGGGGAGGGGTTGGTCCTGCCTCACTGATATGAAGGGACAGATTTAGTAGACTTGCTATGGGAGGCCTTACCCTCTCCGAGGGGCAGATAGGAGGTGGGAGGGGAAGTGGGGGAAGCGGGAGAAGAGGGGACCTGGGATTGGAATACAAAAAATAAATTAATTTAAAAAATTATTTAAAAAAACAAAACTCAAAGCCCACCCATCAGTGACACACTTCCTAATCTTTCCAATCCTTTGAAACAGTTCCACTCCCTGACGACTAAACATTCAAATTATGAGCCTATGAGGGTCATTCTTATTCAAATCACCACATAACATATCAATATTATTATTTTTGAAGTAATTTTTGTTTGCTTACTTTTTTTTTTTTTTTTTTTTTTTGATTTTCAAGACAGAGTTTCTCTGTATAGTCCTGGCTGTCCTGGAACTCCCTCTGCAGATCAGGCTGTCCTGGAATTCAGAATTCTGTCTACCCCTGCCTCCCAAGTACTAGAACTAACTGCTAATGTGTGTGTGTGTGTGTGTGTGTGTGTGTGTGTGTGTGTGTGCATTGGGGGTTTAGGGGATGAGTGCAAGCACATGTGTGGAGATCAGAGAACATCTTTCAGGGACTGCTTTTGCCCCTGTAGCATCCAAAGATCAAACTCAGGTGGTCATCAGGTTTAGGAGGCAAGTGCTTTTACCCACAAAGCCATCTCACCATCCCAATATTTTCTTTTGTAATTTATTCATTTTAATCTTTTCTAATTTTAAAATTACATTCCAAGATTTAAAATGTGATTATTTACCTACACAATCCACTTTTCTGACTTCTAAAATAAAAAATAAAACTAGAATATTATGGGGGTGATATTTTGCAACTACCAAGCCAATTCAATTTCAATCAGTCTTCATTATAGACTCTTATTTACTTATTTATTACTTTTATTTGCATTGGTGTTTTACCTGCCTGTACATCTGTGTGAAGGTGTCAGATCCTGGCGTTACAGACAGTTGTTAAAGTTGCCATGTGGGTACTGGGAATTGAATTCAGGTCCTCTGGAAAAGCAGTCAGAACTCTTAACTGCTGAGCCATCTTTCCATCCCCTTGTCTGAAGGATAGCTCTAAGAAGAATTTCTCTAATGAGAAAAGATTAAAATAGGCTTAATTGAGTGATAAATAATTGTTGGATTGCCTTTTTCCATTTAATCTATTTATTGTGCAAATAGTAAAATATCTTACGCAGAGTTCTCTCACACTCTAGAGAACATACCTCCTCCATCTAGAACAGCTAAACCATGAGGCTGTGACACAGAGCCTGGCATAATAACAGGATAGAAGGAAGGGGTGGGTATCAGTTAGGAGGCCTGGGCACCAGTCTCCCCATGCCAACTCTCCAACACAGAAAGGATTCCTTCTCGCTCTAAGAAACAGAGACAACTTGCAGACTAGAGCCACACATCAAACAGCTAGCCACATATAAGTGAAAGTGATGCCAAAGTGTAGTTAGGAAAAGAGAAGTTCTACATCCAGCTAATAGAATCATTCAAGCCACATAAACCCTGGTTTTATATAAAAGAATTATACAGACCTCATTACTGCAAGAACCATTTAAAAAGAAAAAAGTCGTTCTCTGCTCTTGAGTCACATAGAATGTATCCAGAAGTTCCTAGAGATTGGGGGGGGAGAAGGAGAGGAGCCAGGAATCAAGGCTGGCAACTGAATGGGCGCGGCTACACAGATTACATAAATCTGAAAACAAAGCAACAGACCTCAGAAAGTGTTATGGTTTGCCTACAGGCTCTGTGAAGGCTCATCACAGACAGGCTAGGGGATGTTCTACTCACTGGCCAGCAGGTTGCAGAGCATCATGGGAAAAAGGGAAATTACACAGACAACATTTTAAATATAGGGTAATTATATGAAATTCAAAACAGACTTTAACCCTTTCACTCAAATAG